AAAATTTTTAATTATTTTTCGGCTGGCGGTATCGCCTTTTAAAGCCAATAATTCTTATTTATTTTATGAGCCTGGCAGGATCGCCATATAGCAAATAATAAGTTATTGGTTGGAGTTTGATCACCCATTGGTTTACTTTATTGATTTCACTTTCTTTTATACCAAATTCTTACACTAACACTTACAAATTATTTACGAACTAGAATGTATACAAATATACTACTAATACCTACAAACTAACTACATAACTCTAAAATATGCTAAGTCAACATATGGTTGCAATAAATATATAAATATGTCAGTCGCATTGACAAACTGACGTTGTGGATCAGTTAGTCACTGCGACTGTCTTTGGCGGTGTCTTTGACCGTCCGCACAAGTGTAACAAGATCCTCGCTATGTGCGATGAATGCAGTCTTTGCATAAACTCCCGCTAAGTTCAATGTAACTGATTTGGGTAAACTGTTGTTTGTGTACATTCCTATTTGTTTATACATTACTTATGTATGTGCACATGACAATTAAAGTAAAAAGGGCGATGTGCTTATGCTACAGTACCACTCACAGGCAATCGCTCCATTCAGCGGTAGTTCTCACTACAAAATATGGTTCTCTACCTTTGAAAAGTGATGTCTTGTGGTGTGTGCGTACCACTCACAAGCTACCGCTCCCTTCAACTGTAGTCGTTCACTCGCGACCACAGCTCCGTGCTGACTGCCTGTTTTCTGGCTGTGCTCTATATTTTATGGGCTGTGTGCTTGATGTTGCGTGGTCGTGCAGCCACATGTTGCTGTGTGATGTTTCGTTGCCGTGGTCGCAAAGATGCTGTCGTGTGTTGCTACGAGTTGTGTTGCTATGAGTTGTGTTGCTATGAGTTGTGTTGCTTGACTGGCTGTTGTGCGGTGTCGTATTGCCGCTTATGTTGTAGACGTTTGTGTGGGCTAAATTTCATACTGAACATTTAGTCCTCACAACACATCTCGGTGCCAAGTTACCGTCCTCTGCAATAAACACCTCCAGAGATATGCAGCATACAAGAATCAATTTGCATGGGAGTTGCCACATCACCTTTTCCAATAACTCTCATTTTTCTCCATGAGTATGATATTCGTTTCACATACAAACATACATGTATGTATTTCCATACCAACCTTGAGTACTTTACCCCTAACATTTGAAGGGATATGCAATATGAAACTTTCAGTCAGTATGGGAGGTGCTACGCCTCTTTTCCACAAACGTCCATTTTTCTCCGTCAATATGAACCTGATTTCACACAGTGTTGGAAAACTGTTAATCTGATTAACGATTAAAAATTACCGATTAAAATGTTAATCGCGTTTGACGAATAAAATTAATTAGTCGTTATCAACTGTACGATTAATGATAACATTTTTTGAATCGTTAATCGCTGGCTGAGATTACGTTTAATTAATTTAAAACATTAATCGTTAATCCAATTAAATACAAAATCTGATTAATTTGTCTAGTTTGTCCGAGTTTGAAACCAAACACCAGTTATAGTAATTATTTTGTGTTTTACGCTTATAAAAAGCACATAATAAAAAAAAATTATAATTATTGTTATTAGTAATACATAAACTGGGAACGTTTACAATCCTAGTTTGTAAAACGTTTGTTGGTATATATCTTAATGAAAATGCACATCAAATTGCTTAGATGGATGAGGAAACCCGACTTAGCCATTCCGGATTAACTTGCTTTCTATGCACAGGGAAATTCAAGCATAACTTAATTAATCACCAAACTTACTTGATCAAATTAGGAGTTAATGATTAAAAATTAATTTTTTAGTCGCGGTCACGATTAACTCTTTTGTCAGATTAAAATTAATCATGATTAACTGTAATCAGATTGAATTTAGTCGTATTAATAACTGATTAAAACATCAATCGATTAATGCTATCATTGTTTTCACATAGATATCACTATACCAAGTTTCAGTTCTCTCCCACAAATACTTCCAGATATATGTATGTAATATGAAAATTCCAATTTGTATGGGAGGGGCCTTGAGTTATCGGACTTACTTTCAATCCAAGACCATCCTTCCGAAATCCGTAGTAAGTGTAATAAATTTCGCTCTGATCGGAAAACCGGTTAAGGAAGTATCCTGTTTTTCATTCCAGGTCATAAACCATCTTTGAGCAAAATTTCATTTTCAAACAGGTGGCAATTCTTAAACAAGTTGCTTATTTTCCAGTCTAGGTCATAAGCTACACGGTTAAAAATTTCGGTTTTAATTTTAAACTTTTTGGACTACATATATGACCAAACTAAATTCAGTTTCAAATACAAACCTTCCAAGTTTAAAAAAAAGAGAGCACATGTGTTGGGTTTAGAATTTAAACAATTGGGTTTAAATGTTAAACCCAAACATTTTCATAATTAAGAATAAAAAAAAAACAATCTTAAATTTCATGCTCCGTCTGGTTGGGATTGAACCCGGACAGCCTTGGTAGCAACCAATTGTATCAAGCATCTTTGCACACTCAGCTACAGCCACGCATGTAAATGTGCTTTCATATGTTGAGTTTGAATCCACACCACAATTCGCTGTGCAAACATATTCTATTTCGGTTTAGATTTTAAACCAAATTTTCTATATATGAAACCTAGAAACTAGAATTAAAACATTTTGGTTTGATTTTTAAACCACGAACTTTTTGGGCTAAAATTTAAACCACAATATATTAAAAATTGCGTAAAACTATTGACTGGTTTAAAAAGTAGACTATAAAAGTTTAAAAAAGGCAGTCGTCCCAGCGCGGTTTAAAAATTAAACCCAAATTTTTGACCGTGTATCTGTGTGCAAACTTTCATGCAAATCAGTTCAGTCATTTACGCGTATTAATTTAATTAAACTTTCCTAATACGTGATAACCCTTAAAATAGTAGCCTATTTTCCAGCATAGGTCATAAGCTATCTCTGTGCGAAATGTTATGAAATGGCAACTCTTCCAAAAAATTAGCCCATTTTCCAATGTAGGTCATAAGCTATCTGCTTGCAAAATTTCATGCAAATCCGTTCAGACTTTTCCGCGTATTTATTTAATTAAACTTTTTTAGCAGGTGGTAACTCTTAAAAAAAGTAGCCTATTTTTCAACCTAGGACATGAGCTATCTGTGTGAAAACTTCCATGCAAATCAGTTCACTCATTTCCGCGTATTAACTAAATTAAACATTTCTAACAGGTGGCAACTCTTAAAAAAAGTAGCCTACTTTCTAACCTAGGTCATAAGCTATCTGCTTGCGAAATTTCATGCAAATCCATTCAGTCGTTTCCGCGTATTAATTTAATGAAACTTTTTTAACAGGTGGCAACTCTTAAGAAAAGTAGCCTATTTTCCACTGTAGGTCATAAGCTATCTGTGTACAAATTTTCATGCAAATCCATTCAGTCGTTCCCTCATATTAAATAAATTAAACTTTTTTAACAGGAGGCAACTCTTAAAAAATAGCCTATTAACCAATCTGGCCCATAAACTATGTGTGTACAAAATCTTATGCAAATCCGTTTAGTCGTTTCCGCGTGATGATTTCCCAAACATCCAAACATACAAACTTTCACATTTATAATATTAGTAAGATAAGATAGCCCATTTTCTAACAAAAACGGTTACTTCGTTACTTTGCCGAATATTGCTTCGTTACTTGCCGCATATTGCTTAATGCCTAAAATAATTTCTCATTCTTTCAATTAATCCCTACTACTACTACTACTACTTCTATTTTTTATCTTTTTTCTTTAACACCTTCTACAACTTCAGTTTTTCTTACCACTAAATTTGGATTTATATGGTTTTTGTTAGATATTGAGCTATACTTTTATAAAGAAAGAATGAAGAATTAAAACAAAAAAAAATGAAAAATAGCCGAAACTGGCCAAAATGTTGAGGGATATGTACGTACATATCTGCAGTATCCATTATTAATAGTTATTTTTGCGCTTTTTGCAGTAATTAAAAAAAAATATATTTAAATTTTGCTATAAATGATAACTCACGCTATAACACCTATTCGCATCTGATTTTCAACAGTCCCAAAGCTGGGGTTTCCACAATTTTGAATATTACTTTTAATGTCTAACTGTTTTTGTTTCTGCCGTTTTGTTATCTCAAAGAATGCAGTACATTTTATTTTAATAAATAACAATTACATATTTTCTTCTTACGTATTCCATACAACAAAACATTCGCTCATACCTTGCATGGAGAAAAATGCCTAGAGCCGTCAATAAAAAAATTACTAAAAATCAACGCGATTTCTCAGCCACTTCAAATTTGTACATTGTTATAATAAAATTCAATGGGCTATAAAACTGCATACCAGAAATTTTCGAAAAAAATCTGAGTAAAAAGTTTAAAATTTTGATGAAAATTCATTAAATTTTCCTTAATATTGTATACAGTTTGAAACCTTGATTTATATGGTTTTGTTTATAGCATGAACCATATTTTGGTACAAAACTAACAAAAAAATTATAGCTTGCAAAACATTGTGAACATTTAAGAAAACAAGGTATAGTGGAGCGAGCGTATTTATGTATGCTGCGGTAAAAATACAAGCACTACAATTAAAAATAACTTATATTTATTTACTTATTTTTAATAATGTTTTTTAAAATATAATTCCATCTATTAAAGAAACGACATAAATAAAAGCTGGAAAATGTATTATTTTTAATTGTGGTGTTATTATTTTTACCGCAACTGTACCTGCAAATGAATTCAAAACTAAAGAACTTTACTTTTTATTACATTCAAAAATGACTATGCGAACAAATGTTAGATAGGGTGTTCGGCCAAAATAGCTTAGCCGTAATCAATATTAAGTTTAAGTACGAACACTGGCAGAATCTAATTCGTACTGTACTTTAGTACAAATATCCCCTTAGTTAAGTCTAGTTAATAAGCAACATTGTCATAGAATTAAGGAAGTACGAAAAGAAGGAATTGAAGTCCTCAACAAATATAGTCATTCGATTGGAAACCACAGCCAGCCTCGCTTCTTCTTTGCGCTCCTCGTAGCCTTTTAGCTTTTTTGTTTAAAGTCGTCGTCGGTATTTCGCATCAGCAGCAAAAACCCTTGCTGCCCATTCATTTTGGCTCCCAACGTGGGGCTTATAAAGTCAATTCGTTTTTTTTTCCTTTCTTTTTATTTTTCGTTGCGACTGGCTGTGATTATTTATTTGAATTGGATAAATTTTTGATGTCTGCGCGCTAAGCCGTTGCGCTGCCTACGTGGTACATACATTTTAACGTTGGATTAGAAGGCTCATCTGACAGCAGGAAGATCTGGGATTCGCATTGGGAGAACGGACGGACACACGGAAATTACAATAAAAGTAAAGGAAAAACAAAAGTTTGAAAGCGAAAAAAAAAATTTAAAAAAATTTATAAAAGGTGTTTTTAAGTGGCATTCAGAGCACCGTAAATATCCGGTAATCGGCTAGAAACCGTTGATAAAAATCCGCTTGGTGAAAATATACATACATATATATATGTACAATTTGAAAAAAGCCGTTGTGAAAATACATATATATGTATGTACATTGCATATAAATATGTATATGTATGTATATATAAATCACCGTTTTCCAACAAATAAATAGATTCCGTTTTTAATAATTGGCACTAAATAATTATTTGAATTGCCGTCGACAGATCACCAGCGCACAGTTTTTCAGCGCATCAAATTAATATACATAATTGTACGATACACAAGTAAATCTATAAACATATGTATGTACAACCATACGAATTTAAATTTCGGTCGTTTGGATTTTAGCAGCAAAAACAATTTGTCGTATTTTGCTATTCTTCGACTGCAGTCGTTACAAATACTATTTATGTACCTATGCTTATGTACACGGTATTTGCATATTAGCTGGCAGAATTTCTTTGCTGCGCTGCTAATATACATACATACATACATACGTACATAGCCAGCTACATATTTAGTGTTACTCTACTCCACTTTCATACATACGCTACGTACATATATACATATAGAGGTACATACATAGTTATTCCTACTGCGCTTCGCGTTGCTATTTACCATTGCTGGTAAATGCTTATACAGATACTTACATAAAAACACATGTAGATATGTATAGTCGTGTAATAATTATTGCGCTTGGCTTTGTCATTTTTCGCTGCGTTCTATCTTCGGTGCAAAAGCAATAGAAAATTTGTACATGCTCATATCCACACATATTTATTTGATTTTTTTTGTGCAGCTATTTACCCTCGCCAACTTACGTTTGTACATATATACATATGTATATAAGTTCTAAGCTAACATTGCAGTGATTTTAAAACTGCACACCTACACTGGAAAAAAAGAGTGTGATATTTAAAAATACCTCTATTAAATATATTGTGGAAATATTGATCGTTGCTGTATTGCCGTGTAACAAGTGTTCGCGAAAAATAACTTGAATACTATTTCTTATACATGTATACATAAAAGCGTCTACTTAAATACGAATTTGCGAAAGTGAATGCAAGTGTATGTATCTATCGGTCGGATATATTTTAAGTTTCCCTATACCGCTTTAAATTAAAATTGAAAACATTGCCTCATTATTAGGCTTGCACAAAACAGTTGGTTGAATTTGTCTAAAGTTGTGGTCGCGAAATACTAGCATATACCGCGGTAACTAATATTTAAAATTACAAAAACTATTTTAGACAAAATGCCTGGAAACTCAAGCGATGAGTCTGCAGCGGTGGCAAAGCTCGTTACGCTAAAACAGCAACGATCAACAGCTCGCGGAAATGTAACAAGAATTAAAAACTTGTTAGAAAATACTGCTACATCATGGAACGTAACTGATTTAGAGTGCCGGTTAGAAATTTTGAGCTCGTATATAAAGCAAATAATGGCATATCAGACGCAAATTGAGAAAGAGGACCCTTGTGATGATAGGAGAGGTGATACTGAGAAGTTGTGTATTAGTGCGAAGTCAAAGCTTTTGCAGCTTTTAGGGCAATATAAGCGACGTGAGAGCTCAGCGCTAGAAACGACCTTCGGCATTACCACGCCACAAGCATCCCGTTTACCGAATTTAAAATTGCCAACGTTTAGCGGAAAATATGCCGACTACAAGAATTTTATTATCTCCTTTAATAACTTGGTGCACAATGAACCACAGTTGGCGCCGATTGAGAAGTTCAACCATTTGCTTAGTTGTTTGTTAGGTGATGCACTTAGGACGGTTAAGGCGTTTCAAGTTACAGAAGATAACTATGAAAAGGTGTTAGAACGGTTAGCAGAACGGTACGACAAAAAGGACTTAATATTTGTTATGTCTCTAGGGCCAATTTTTAAATTTCCTATGGGGTAGTTTAAGGAGCTTTTCGGCCGGTTTAAAAAAAGCAAACAATGTTTCTTTTTCCTCCTACGCGTTTCGATGCTTTTCACATCTTCCTCAGGGAGTCTGGTGTTTATTGTATGTGTTTATGTTTTGTTTACAATAAACACCAGACTCCCTGAGGAAGATGTGAAAAGCATCGAAACGCGTAGGAGGAAAAAGAAACATTGTTTGCTTTTTTTAAACCGGCCGAAAAGGACTTAATATTTTTTGATAATATAGAGCAGTTATTTGATATTGAAAAGATGAATAAGCCAAACGCTCCAGCTCTTAGAAATGCAGTGGATACAGTCTCTGCAATTTATGACTCGTTGTTGTCGTTAGGATCAGAGAAGGATATAGCCAATGCCTTGATAATTCATTTAGTAATTTCTAAAGTCGACCCAGCTACCAAATCTAGATGGAATGAGCAGCTAGACTACTCCACACTTCCAACATGGAACGAGTGCTCCAAGCATTTAATTCGTCGTTGCCAGTCACTAGAAGAGAACGAAGACCACTCAGGTAGAGCTAGTACAGGCGATCAAAGAAAAAATAGTCGATCTAATTTTAATAAAAGCTCCAATAAGGCCTCATTTACAGTTGCGAAAACTAATAGTGAAGGTCAATGCGCATATTGCCATAATAACGGTCACTCAATTTATACATGCAGTCTCTTTGCTGCCTTGCCAATAAATAAGCGTTTTGAGTTCATAAAGAAAGAAGGAAGTTGCATTAACTGTTTGAAGAAGGGTCATTCGGTAAGAAACTGTTCCAAATCGCATTGCAGAGTTTGCCAACGCCCTCATCACACTCTGTTACATAAATATGAGATACAACAAGGTAATGCGGCTGCGAGCAATAGCAATTTGCCAATGCAGTTCGAGCTCCTCAGCCGCTGCTAATTCGGCTCCCGCACACTATGGGACCCATCGCTCCTCGCATCACGTATCGAGTGTTAACTATGTTGTAGTTTTGGCCACGGCCTTAGTCCAAATTAAAGACCGCAGCGGAAAAGAGCATTTAGTAAAGGCTCTTCTAGACTCAGGTTCTCAATTAAATTTTATGAGTGAAGAATGCGCAAGCAATTTGCAACTAAAACGAGAATTTAAAAACCTAAACTTATCTGGCTTTGGAGAGATTAACACCAGTTTGAGGCACAAAGTAAATACCACGGTTAAATCGAGAATAAATAACTATCAGTTTCAAACAGATTTCTGGGTCATTAAATCGATTTCGACATACCAACCTGAAGTCAATTTTCAATTTAGTACTTGGCAAGTTCCAGAGAATATTGAGCTTGCAGATCCGCATTTTAATAAGCGACAAAGAGTCGATCTGCTTATTGAGGCTGACATATTTTTTGAATTATTATCTGTGGGTCAAATAAGATTAAACGAATCTTTACCTACTCTGAAAAAGACATTACTTGGTTGGATAGTGTCAGGTCGCTACAAGCAGAATACTGGCATTGAAATTGGAACATGTAATTTAGTAAATAAAAGTAACGAAGTGGTCGTTTCGAAGTTCGCCTCCCATTTAAGAGGAACCCATCAGAACTTGGTGCATCCTATGAAATAGCTAAACGTCGATATTTAGCACTTGAACGTAGACTTTCGAAGACACCTGACGTCCGAAAGATGTATAATGACTTTATGGAAGAATATCTGTCACTAGGCCACATGTCTCAAATTGGTAACGTAGTCCCATCTGATCCACACTACTTTATACCCCACCAAGTCGTCGTAAAATTAGACAGCTTGACAACAAAATTAAGAGTTGTATTTGACGCTTCTTCCAAGTCCATGCACATTTCTCTTAATGAGACGTTGATGTCGGCCCACTATCCAACCAGAGCTCTACACCACGCTATTAAAGTTTCGTTGTCGTAAATTCGCTATTACAGCTGACATTACAAAAATGTATAGGGAAGTGGAGGTGCATAAGAAAGACAGACAGTTTCAGTTGATTTTGTGGCGTGAAACTCCGAATATGCCAATACAGATTTACATACTGAAGTGGTAAACATTCTAGACAAGTTGGCAAAATGGTACTCAAATCATGATTTTCTCAAAAATAATAGCGGTGCAGAAAAAACCATATCATTAAATAATACCGAAACTACCAAGACTCTTGGAATAATTTGGCATCCAAAAAGTGAAGAACTCCGTTTCAGCTCAAGTTTTGACTTCGATAATTTGCACGCAACGAAGCGTAATATATTATCAGTCTCATAAAGGCTATTTGACCCTTTGGGACTGTTATGCTCAATAATAACGAGAGCAAAAATGATCCTCCAAGAACTGTGGCTTCATAAATTAGACTGGGACGAATCAATTCCAATGTCGTTGGCAACAAGTTGGGAAAATTTCAAGGAAAACTTCCGAAAAATACCAGAAATACGCATACCTCGCTTTATAAATATGTCGTCGTCTCCAAAAATACAAGTGCATGGATTCTCAGATGCATCCATGCGAGCTTATGGTTGTTGCATTTATATTCGAAGTAGTTGTAAAAATAAATATAAATCGTTGCTCTTTACAGCCAAGTCAAAAGTCGCCCCACTCACTTGTTGGCGAAACTATGGAGAAATATATCCCCAATATTAGCCTCAAATATAGACAAAACCGTGTTCTGGACTGACTCGGAAATTGTACTGTACTGGCTGAAAAAACATCCATCAACCTTGTCGATTTTCGTGGGAAATAGGATTGCGGATATCCGGGAATGGACAGGAGATGCAATTTGGAAACATGTTCCAACCGCTCATAACCCGGCTGACATAGTCTCCAGAAGTTGCAATGTGGACGAACTGCGGCAATCGATAAGGTTTAATGGTCCGAAGTTCCTAACTCAGGATGAAGAGAATTGGCCAAGGAACCTGCATTTCGAACCAACGGAGGACGTAAAAAGTCTTGAGACTCGAAAAGCCAAAACGACTATTAAGCGATTATCTATTATCGATGCTATTGCGAGTTCGCTTAGTCGCTCAATTAGCGACTGTGAATACTTTTTAATCGCTCATCCTTCTATTGCTGTTTTTTAGTCGTTGGAGTTTGCGTTTATAAAATTTACATAAGAAAGTGGTACTATAATGGATAAAAAGTAAGTCAATTGAACTGGAAGTTGTAAAAAATTGTGAAATATACACATGCATGTATGTGTCTGAATTACAGATCAAAAATTATAAGCAACAAAAGGCTACTTGCGCGGTTGGACGTGCTGATGTAGGAGAGTGAAGAGGCAAAGGAATTTCCGGAAAGAGTAGGGTAGGAAGCTCCGCTTCTATTGGAAAAGATACATATACAATATTTCTTGTGCATATAACTCCGGCTACGCCATCCACAGTGTTTTTGCGCAGAACCAACATCAAAAGTTTATACAAGAAAAACTGCATAATTTATTAATTGAC